GTTTTTGTTTGGGTTTGGTTTTTGAGCCACACCCTGTGATGCTCAGGGCCTACTCCTGGCTCTGCACTCAGGAATTACTCCTGACAGTGCTCAGGGCTTACTCCTGTTCTGTGCTCAGGGATCATGCCTGGTGAGATGGGGGGACCCTAGATGGTGTCAGGGATTGAACCAGGTTTACCTGCGTGCAAGGCAAGCCCCAAATAGCTTATTTAGGAGGGGCTGCTCTCCACTCTGTGCTCCAGGGGCTGCTCCTTCCCAGCTGGGATCAAACCCAGGTTCCTGTATTTGCTTCGGTCATTGAACCATCTCCCTGGCCCTCAACCTCCAGTTGTTTTGTTATCTTTGGTGGGGGATGGAGGTATTTGGGCCCCCCAGTGGTTCTCAGGGCTTACCTGAACTCTGAACTCAGGGATCACTGCTGGTGCAGGGCATCACATCACAGGTGGTGCTGGGAATCAAACCCAGCTCAGCACTGTGCCAGGCAGGTGCTGCCCTACTGGCTATACAATCTCTGGCCCTGTTTTTTATTTTTTATTTTTAAATAAAATTGCAGGACCCGCATGCCTTTGTTCCTCTGCCGGTACCTTCATGCATGTGGAGAGTGGTCTCAGCATGGTTGTGTCTGGTTCTGGAGGTCTTCAGCTGCCGGAGCTCTGCTCGGTGCGGGGAGGGAAACTCAACCCACCCCCCTCCAAGGGGTCCCGGCAAGGACAGCCAGGCGCGGGGGCAGGAGACTCTGCCATCTTTTTATCTCATTCTTTGGACAACCTGGCAGGCTACCAAATGTAACCTGCCCACACGGCAGAGTCTGGCCAACTCCCCGTGGCGTACCCAATATGCCAAATACCAGTAACAATGATGGGTCTCATTCTCCTAACCCTGAAAGAGCCTTGAATATGGCACTTTTTAAAATCTTAGGGCTAGGATGAAGGAGACGTTACTGGTGTCTGCTCCAGGCAATTAACGAACAACAGGACGATCGTGATCATGATAAATAAAGTTGTTCACAATAATTTATTACAACCACTATTTCAATACCAATCCCACTACCATTATACCTTCCCACCAGCATGAACTGGCCCTGTTTTTATTTATTTATTTAGTTAGTTAGGGGACTGGAGCAATAGCACAGCGGGTAGGGCGTTCGCCTTACAAGCGGCCAACATGGCCGACCCGAGTTCGATTCCTCCGCCCCTCTCGGAGAGCCCGGCAAGCTACTGAGAGTATCTCGCCCACACGGCAGAGCCTGGCAAGCCACCCGTGATGTATTCGATATGCCAAACACAGTAACAACAAAGTCTCCAGTGGAGACGTTACTGGGCCTGCTCGAGCAAATCGACGATCAACGGGAGGGCCTTTACCTTTACCTTTACCTTTACCTTTAGTTAGTTTTTGGTTTTTGCACCACCTCCAGCGGAGCTCAGGGGTTCCTTCTGCCTCTGTACTCAGGAATCACTCCTGGCGGTGATCAGGGAACCATAAGGGATGCTGGGGATTGAACCTGGGTCAGCTGTGTGCAAGGCAAACACCCGACCTGCTGTACTATTGCTCTGGCCCCTGTTTTTATTATTATTATTTTTTAATCTTCACCACCCCCTTCCCTTTGTTGCTGCTGCAGGAATGAAGGGGAGGAGTGTGTACGCTTTGCAGATCGCTCACTGGGGTCCCAAACCTAGCTGTATGCTTACAAACAGTCGCGCACAAGCTTGGTTTCTGTGGACCGGAAATTGTGGGAGCAGGGAAATTGTGGTTTCCAAGTATGGGGCTGCAGGGATGAAACTCGAAATGTGGGTGGTCAGGGGAAGTTGCAGCCACAAGCCAGCAAGGCAGGCCCTCTACCCTGAGCTATTCCAAGCCCCACTTTGTTTGCTTATTTGAATTGTGATTGTCTTTGTTTGGGGGTTATACCTGGGGGTTACTAGAACCTACTCCCATCTTGGTGCTTGGGGGTCACTCCCGCTGGTCAGACCCAGGTCTCTGCTTTCAAAGCATCGCTCAGGCCCTTGAGCTATCTCCCTGGCCCAGATCTTCTGGGTGATTTTTTTTTTTCTGTTTGTTTTTAATCTGTTGATGGCAGTTGAGTTGTTTCCACTTTGGGAGATTATGGTGCTATAACATCTGTGGACAAGTGTGTGCAGACAGATATTTTCAGTTCTCTTGTGTCTACAGAGTGCAATTGCTAAGTCATTTTGTAAGTCCGAAATTAACTGTTTGAGGAACTAGCCAAGTACTTCCTTTCCAGAGCACGTGTGAGCTTGCCTAATCCACTAACAGCAGCTCACGTGTGGAGAAAAGGCTGACTCAGAACCCACACTGGCTTTTAAAAGCTATAGGGCTGGGGGACGTGGGTAGGTTGTTTGCCTTGGACATGACCGACTTGGGTTCTATTCCTGGAACCCCTTATGATTCCCTGAACACCACTAGGGGTGGTCCCAAAACTTAAATAAATAAGATTACAGGGGCTGGAGAGAGAATACAGCAGTTAGAGTGCTGACCTTACATGTTTCAACCCTCTTCCATCCCTGGCATCCCATATGGTCCCCTGAGCAACCAACACCAGAAGTAATTCCTGAGTGCAGAGCCAGGAATAACCCCTGAGCATTGCCTGGTGTGGCAGAAAGAGAGAGGAAAGAGAGAGAGAGAGAGAAAGAGGAAAGAAAGAGAGAGAGAGAGAGAGAAAGAAAGAAGGAAAGAAAGAGAGAGAAAGAAAGAAGGAAGGAAAGAAAGAAAGAAAGAAAGAAAGGAAGGAAGGAAGGAAGGAAGAAGAAAGAAAGGAGGAAGGAAGGAAGGAAGGAAGGAAGGAAGGAAGGAAGGAAGGAGGAGAGAAAGACAGAGAGAGAATAGGAAGAAAAGAAAAGAGGAAGAAAGAAAAGAAAGAAAGAAGGAAGGAAGAAGGAATGAAGGAAGGACAGAGGGAGAAAAGAAAGGAAGAAAAAGAGAGAAAGAAAAAAGAAAGAAGAAAATTACAGGAGGTATGAAATGACTAAAAAAAAACTAATATGCAAGCCATACGAACGTTTCAAAAACTGGCAAGGACCAGGGATTTGGTTCAATGGTAGAGTATATGCCTCATAGATCTAAGGGCTTTGGTTCTAGCCCTGGCATTAAAATAGTCACTTAAGCTTATCTCTAAAGCTCTATCGTTTTAATTCAATGTTAATAACAACTTTTAGGGAGCCAGAAGTCAGCTCAGTTGAGCAGCTTAGAGAAGGTCCAAAGGCAAGCTGAGCCACAAGCTCGAACCCCAGAGTCTCCCAGGTACCGAGGTGACCCTGAACACCCCTCTCTCTGAGGTCCCCAAGGGAAGGACAAAATAAATGATTTAAAAAGTAAAAAGTTATCATTTTAGTTTTAAAATGTTTTTAAACTATTCTAAAGAGTTTTGGCAAAAATCAATTGGGTTTATTCTCTTTTCTAAACTAAAAGTTCTGGGGCTGGAGGAAGAGTTCCAAGGGCAGAGAAGGGGAATTGATGTGGGTGGCCCAGGTTCAATCCTTCACAGAATGGCCCCCTGACACCGCCAGGAGCCAGTCCTGAGTGTCAACCAGGAATAACCACTGAGCACCCACCCCCACCCCCACCCCCAGTGTGACCCAAAACTTAAAAAACAACTTTAGGAGGCTTCAGCTGCATTCATTCATTCCGTAGAATCTTTTTTTTTTCTTTTATAATTTTGTCTTTGTTTTGAAGCCACACCAGGCCGTGCTTAGGACTCACTCCTGGCTCTGGGCTAAGGATCACTCCCGCGGGCTCGAAGGAGACCTTTGGGGTGCTGAGGACCAAAGCCAAGTCTGCACATAGGGCCAGCACCTTACTCCGGACCTGTCTCTCCAGTCCCAGAACCATTTCCTTTCGACCTGTTTGTTTATTTGTGGCCTAAGGGTCACATATATGCAAAGCATGTGCTCTACCACTAAGCAACAGTTCTGGCCTCTATTTCCTTTAGACTATTTGGGGGCTATTTAGACTCACACCTGGAGATGTTCAGGAGACCATATTTGGTGCTGGGGATGAAAGACTCAAGGCAAGTGCCTTAATCCCTGTACTAGCTCTGCAGCCTCTCGATTTTCTTCTGAAACCGATTAAGGGGCCCCAGGAGATAGCTTAAAGGCTCAGGGCATCCGCACGGACTTCCTGTGCCTCATAGGTGGACAGTTCCCCAGCCTCACGTGGCCCTAGCAATCCCAATGTCGTCCTGGGGGCCCCTGAGCACCCCAGCACCACTGGGGAGGCTTAAATTAATTAACGGAAGCAATGAACTGCTTTGTTTGCCCATTGCATTTTAATAAAACTTGAAAAAAAATTACATGAAATAAAAGGAATTTTATGTTCTTTTTGGCATGAGCTATATATAAGACAGCGGGTAAGGTGTTTGCTTTGCAAGAAGCCAAAGGGATTCTACCCCCAGCACCCCATAGAATCCCCCAAGACCCGCTAAGAGTAATTCATGAATGCAAAGCCAAGGGTGAGCCCTGAGCACCCCTGGATGTGGTCAAAACAAGAATCCCATGCTCTGTGCTCTCCCGTTCACAAGTGGCGCCTAAGGAAACCGAGCAAGGGGCCTAGACACAGTGCAAAGGTTGAAGCCTGGGGCATTCTCCTCCACCAGAAAGAGAAGCCAGCCCCAGCTCCTGGGGTTAGGAGGTAACAGTGAGACACCCCCGCTTCCCCCCCCTCCACTCCAGCAAGCGTGTGCTAGAGGGCTCTCACCACTGCTGTTGAACCGGGAGAATCCCAACTTGTAGGTACCTACCAGGGGTCCCCAAATGCCCGCCCCCACCCCAGTCTGGCCCAGGGTCACCTCTTCCAAGGACATACTAATGACCCCTCTGCCCTCTCTGGCCAATGCTCAGGGTTGGGTCTAATTAATAGCAAATATTAAATAATAACCTCAGGGGTGGGTCTAATTCCCTGCCCAGACCCCTGAGGTCTGGATGACAGGTGAAGTGTGCCCATGGCCCTTTAAGAGAAGGAAGCTTGCTCCCTGTTGCCATGGAGACGGCTGGATACACAGCGGGGAGCTGCAGCCCCGCAGCATGTCCCAGAAACTCCAGTTCTCAGGTGGGAGAAGTCTACAGGGGCTTCGAGACTTTGAGAGGGGGCGAGGGGGCAGGGGGAGGGGGGCAGTCGGTGGGTGGCCTTTGAGGCTCTACTTCGTGGGGGGGTGGGGAAGCCCTGTGCTCCCCGGGCTCCTTCTCCCCCTGGGGTCCCAACTCAGCCTCTGCTCCTTCCATAGACTTCAAAACCAGCAGCCCAGAGGAGGAGCCTGACCGTGTGCAGCACCTCAAGGCCAATGCTGAAGCCATCCTCTTCCTCAGTTCCCTCCGTGAGCCTGGATGCCCGGGGAGGTGGGGGGGGGGTGCCAGTCTCGCAGCGAGACTCCTGGAGCACCGGCTTTTATTTATTTATTTATTTTCATAGCCCCATATGGGTAGCACTGTAGCACTATCCTCCCTTTGTTCATCAATTTGCTCCGGCGGGGCCCAGTAACGTCTCCATTGTGAGACTTGTTACTGTGTTTGGCATATCGAATACATCACGGGGAGTTTGCCAGGCTTTGCCTTGCTGGCGAGATACTCTCAGTATCTACTCTCAGTAGCTTGCCGGGCTCTCTGAGAGGGGCAGAGGCATCGAACCGGCTCTGCTGGGCCGTGCACAAGGCAAACGCCCTACCACACTGTGCTATCGCTCCATCCGCTCAGGATATGAAACCCATAACTCAGAATTATGAGACCCATCTGTGATGCAGAGTCTTCAAGGAAAGACTCCCATATAGGGGCTGGGGGTGGGGGTGGGGGTGGTAAGGGTATTTTTAGGGGAAGTTCTCATCTGTGGGGGGTGCACGAAGGCTGGGGCAGCTTGGGAGTGGGGATAAGAAGTGGCTCAAAAACAAAACAAAAAAGAAGGGGTAAGTGGAGGCTGGGGGCCCCCTGGAGCGCCAGGGCTCAGAATGGAGCCTGGGAAGAAAGGCGCTGCTCTGACTGTGCCCCCCCCCGCCCCCCAGAGGAGGAGGAGCTGCAGCTGCTGCTCTTCTCGGAGACTCTGGTCATGGTCTCGGACTCCGGGGAGCCGCAGGGAGAGCTGAGCATCCAAATGCAGAAAGGGAGCCACCAGGATGAGTTTGGGATCTTCACCCACTGCCTCTTCGTGCACGCGGCTAGCCAGGGCTTCGTCAACAAGACCGCGTGTGGCAACACACTCCAGGGTAGTGTGCATGCTCCTCGCTCCCCCGCGCCTCCTCCCCAGGTCCTCTGTTCCCCACTAGCCCTGTGACCTTCCCTTGGGAGTGGAATGAGGTGAAGGACTGGGGTATGGCTGGGTGAGGGTGACAGGGACATCGCAGCTAGAGAACCCGGGTATGAGCTGAGTGTGAGAGAACAGGAAACGGGCTGAGGCACGTGCCTTGCATGGGCTAACTTTTTTTTTTTTTTTTTTTTTTTTGCTCTTTGGGTCACACCCAGAGATGCTCAGGGATTACTTTGCACTCAGGCATTACTCCTAGCGGTGCTCAGGGGACCATATGGGATGCTGGGAATTGAACCCGGGTTGGCTGCTGCGTGCAAAGCAAAAGCCTTACCCGCTGTGCTATCACTCCAGCCCCGCATATGGCTAACTCTGGTCCTGTGTCATGCTTCCCCGAGCCTGGCCAGGAGCGATTCTTGAGCACAAGACCCTTTGAGCACCAAGAGCCATGACCCAACCCCACCTCAAAAATCAGGAGCCCAGGGGCTGGAGCGATAGCACAATGGGTAGGGTGTTTGCCTTGCACACGGTCCTACCCTGGTTCGATCCCCAGCATCCCATATGGTCCCCTGAGCACGGCCAGGAGGAATTCCTGAGTGCATGAGGCAGGAATAATTCCTGTGTGTCGCCAGGTGTGGCTCAAAAAGAAAAAAAAATCAGGAGCCCAGTGACCCTATCCTGTGACCCTGTTGTGCCACACCCCAGCCTCCTGCTCCCCTACTCTGGAGCCACCCACCAACCTCCCCTCCCCCCACCCCCCAGGGTATCTCACATGGAAAATGGAGGTCCTGGAAGAACAGAGTCAGGAATTCATCAAGGTACCTCTCTCCGGGAGCCTCCAGCTTGGCCCTCAATGATGGACGAGACAACAGACATCCTGGGAGGGATGGGGGGATGGTGAAAGGGAAGGAAGGGTCTTGGGGAAATGCACCCCAACCTCCTCCTCAACTACCCCGTGATTCCCATCACACTCAAGGCCCGATCGTTGCTGCTCTTTTTTTTTTTTCTTTTCATGGTTCTTGGGATCGAATCCGGGCTCTTGCGTACAATGCCTGTGTTCTTGAGCTATATCCCAGCTTCTTTATTGTTTGGGGGTGACAACCAGCAGTGCTCAGGGCTTTCTCCTGGCTCTGCATTCAGAAATCACTCGGGACCATATGGGAGGCCAAGGATAGAACCTGGGTCTGCCACATGCAAGAGCCCTCCCTGCTGTGCATTGCTCTGGCCCCAGAGGGTACTTCTTGCCGCCCTTCTCCTGAAACATAATCCCTGGCCCACCCTGGACCCCCTGGGGGATGATGTGTGCTGGCTTTTCCCAAAGGCCTGTCACCACCACGCCTTCAATTTCTGCGCTGAGTCCTTCAAACCCAGCCCCGTGACTTCATGAACTTTCGGAATACTTCACATCAGAAACAACACCCCCCACCCCTCCCGGGGCTGGAGAGAGAGCACTGCGGGTAGGGCGTTTGCCTTGCACGAGTTCGATTCCCAGCATCCCATATGGTCCCCTGAGCACCGCCAGGAGTAACTCCTGAGTGCAGAGCCGGGAGTAATCCCATGCATCACCGGGTGTGACCCAAAAAGAAAAAAAAAAAAAACCCCTAAGACCCTCCCCGCAGAAACCACGTCTGGCTCTGCAATTGCATTGCTTTGTCCTTTCCCTCCTTCCACTCCTTCTGCGTTTAGGTACAATTTCTTCCACAATTGGAGGGTGTGTATGTGCACACTTGGTCAACATGTTTGCACGTGTGTAATGGAACAAACACATGATACTTTGCTGTGGGCTGGATAGAGTCACACAGTTCGATGCTGGGCCCAAGATGCCAGGCCACAGAAACCTCTGGGATTGTGCTGCGACGAAATCTGGCTCATCACTGACCTCACACCTGCAAGGCAGGGGGTCATCCCCTGAGCTAGCTCTGGGTCCCAAGAACATTTGCTTCTTCGCTTTATATTACACCGTAATATGACTTGTATGCCCACACTTCACTACACTTGGGCGCTTTTATTTTGGGGGTGGTGGCACACCCAGCAATGTTCAGGGATTACACCTGACTCTTAACTCAGGAACCACTTTTGGCAGTGCTCGGGGGACCATGTGGGGTGCCGGGGATTGAACTCAGATCAGCCGCGGGCAAGGAAAATGCCCTCCCAGACACACCATCACTCTGGCCCAACATGGACACTTTTCTTTTTTTTATAAAAAAAAAATCTTCTAGGAATTCTAAAATTTTAATAATTAGGGTCTGAAGAAATCGCTGCAGCACCTTGCTCAAGTCTGAGATTTGTTTGTGTATCTCTGGATCATGGCCATGTGGGAGCTTAAGTGGCCGGTAGCCGGATGTGACATCATCTCAGAGTCCCATGGGGTGGAGGGAAGGAGAAGGGCCCACTCCTCCCCTGTCTCGTGAGACCTGGCGTTTGCTGCCACCAACACTCATACCTGGAGCTTGTCGCTGAGTTCCAGAAAATGGTGGCCGCTGGAGCTCCTAGAGGGCAGGGGGAGTGACAGCACCTGCCCCCGTCTGAAGCAGCCCAGTGGAAACGGACTGTTGCAAAGTCCCGGGCCATCTCTGCAACAAGTTGCTCGGGTCCAAAATTTGTTTGTTTCTACCCAAGCCTCCAGCCAGAGGAAATGGACAAGGTGATCTTTGTTTTTTGTTGTTGTTGTTGTTTCTTTTTGGGTCACAACCGGCGATGCACAGGGGATTACTCCTGGCTCTGCACTCAGGAGTTACTCCTGGTGGTGCTCAGGGGACCATATGGGATGCTGAGAATCGAACCCGGGTCGGCCACATGCAAGGCAAACGCCCTACCCGCTGTGTTATCGCTCCAGCCTCTGGACGAGGTGATCTTGAGTATGCCACCGGGTGGGTCCCCGATTCTCCCCTCCATGTCTGACCCTTAGTTACAAAACTTCCCCATGGAACGGAAGCTGAGCCTGGTGAGGAAGGATGACCAGCTGATTATAAACAGGCGTACCAAGGAGGGTGAGGTGAGGAGGGGAGGGGGGCTGGTGGGAACCGGATGCCACATCCTCTGGGGGGCCCCAGCAGAGGCACATCCTCGGGACCCCATCACGCCATCTGCCTCTCGCACCTGCCTGCCCACCCTCCCTCCCGCTTCCTGGCTCCCTGGCTCTGACCCAGACTACCCCGCCCCCCCCCCCCCACCTCGAGCAACAGGATGTGAAGAAGGAAAGGACTGCCAAGCCCAGCAGCTCACTCGAGGGCTTTATCTCCGAGGCTGCCAACTTGATGCTGCTGCGGGTGATGGCCTGGCGAAAGATGGTGCCCAGCAATGCCCGCTTCCTGGCCTTGGACACACAGGGCAAAATCTGCCATTCCACCTATGTGAGGAATCCCCCAGGGAGGGCAGGGACAGGTTGGGGGCCACTAGAAGAAACAGGGAGGTCTCACACCCGCTTTTCATTGATCTTGGTGAAAATTTCATAAGCAATATCTCATGGCGGCAAATTTCAAAGCCCCCTAGGACTCTGAATAGGCTGGGGTTATTTTTATTTGGGGGCTACACCGAACAGTGCTCAGGGCTTGCTCCTGGGTCTGTACTTAGGGATTACTACTGGCGTGGCATGGGGGTGGGAACCACATGGGGTTGCCAGAGATTGAACCTGGGTCCGCCATAGCAAGGCCAATGCCCTACTTGCTGTACCATCACTTGTACCATCACTCTGGCCCCTGAACATGCTGTTTCTCACGAGATGCTGTGGGAGCTGATTTGATCAACTTTGTAAAAGAGATGTGGTGGTGTGTTCCGTCCAAGTCAGGACAAAGAGGGCCGAGGATGTGTCTAGCATATCCCAGCACAAACACGACAAAAACTGTCACAAGCAGCAATGTGGGTTCGATCCCCAGCACCACATATAAACCCCCCTTCACCCTCCACACCTACCCCCGCCTAGGAGTGATCCCTGAGCACAGAACCAGGAGTAAACCCTGAGCACTTCAGGATGCAGTCATGTGGCCCCAGAGCTACTTCTCAGATCTTCACCGGTCTCTCTGCGTCCGCTCCATACTCTGCCCTGATTGGTTGATTTCAGAGGGCCTAGGGAGGGGTTGGAGCAGGAGTAGAACAGAGCTGGCCTTCTAGGAAGAGATTTCCCCTTATACCACCTAAACGTGAGGGTGCAACTCCAATCTGCAGCGCAGGGTCAAGGATGACTTGTCACTGGAGAACAAGGAAGGAGGTTGCAAGGAGAAAGGGTTAGTTTCAGGGGGAGACCCCGGTGGGCATCCACCTCACCTGTTGCCCTCCTTTCTGGGTGCATCCAGGAATCCCTGGGCTCCCAAATGATCCAGATCAACCAGCAGCAGGTGAAAGTGTTCATCGTGGAGCAGAATATCCACTCCCAGGAGGGCATCCCGTTATCTTGCCAGTTCTACCTGCTCTCCGATGGGTGAGCTACTGGGAGAGGGCTCCAGGGGGCAGTGTTGAGCTCGGTGCTGGAACGCAATGGGGCTAAGGCCTGGAGCCTGGGCCAGGAATAGATGTGGAGATCCTGCACACCTTGCTTTCGCCACATCACTCTACTTTTCTTCATTTCGTCCCTCTGATCCTCACAGAGCCTCTCACACCTTACCAAGGCGCCTTGAATAGCTAAGGTCGCCCATGCTGTGCCCATAGGCCCTAAGACAGGGCTAAAAGCAGCTGGGGCTGGGATGGGTGCTCATAATATCCACAACCACCAGTCACAGTCACTGTCACTGTCTTCCCATTGTTCATCGATTTGCTCGAACGGGCCCAGTAACGTCTCCATTGTGAGACTTGTTGTTACTGTGTCTGGCATATCGAATACGTCACGGGGAGCTTGCCAGGCTTTGCTGTTTCGGGCGAGATACTCTCGGTAGCTTTCTGGGCTCTCCGAGAGGGGTGGAGGAATTGAACCCAGGTCAATCGGGTCGGCTGCATGCAAGGCAAACGCCCTACCTGCTGTGCTATCGCTCCAGCCAGTATTGTATTATTATTTGGCGGGGGGGGGGGGGGGGGGAGGTAGGGGCCAGGTGGTGCTCAGGGCTTACTCCTAGCTCTGCATTCAGAGATCATTTTAAAATTATTATTTGGTTTTGCTTTTGTTTTAGGGCCACACCCCGCTATGCTCAGGGGTTAATTTCAACTTTGCCCTCAGGAGTTACTCCTGGCAGTGCTTGGGGGGGACCATATGGGATTCCGAGGATCAATGGTTCAGCTCAGCTGCATGCAAGGCAAACACCCTACCTGCTGTATTATCTCTCTAGTCCCCTCAGGGATCACTTCCAGTGGGGCTCAGGGGACTAAAGGTAGTGTTCAGGATGGAACTTGAGTCAGCTGTATGCAGGCAAGCACTTTGCCCACTGTCACTGTGCTAGCTCTCCAGCCCCGGCACTTTTTATCATTAATTTCACTTCCGGTGGTGCTCAGAGCATTATCATTATTCATTTCATTCCGGTGGTGATAAATGTAGTTTCAGAGAGTAAATAAAAGTCCGCTGCCTACAAATCACGTGCTTTCTTGCTTTTCTTTTTTTTTTTTTAATTAATGAATCACCAGGAGATACAGTTACAGACGTACAAACTTGAAATCACTGCTTTTATAGGGGCTGAAGTGATAGTACAGCAGGGAGGATGTTTGCCTTGCACCTGGTCGACCTGGGTTCAATTTCCAGCATCCCATATGATCCCCCGAGCACTGCCAGGAGTAACCCCTGAGCCGTCACCCCTGAGCATCACCAGGTGTGACCCAAGAAGCAAAAAAGAAAGAAAGAAAGAAAGAAAGAAAGAAAGAAAGAAAGAAAGAAAGCAAGCACGTAGGGGGCTGGAGCAATAGCACAGCGAGTAGGGCATTTGCCTTGCACGCGGCCAACCCGGGTTCGATTCCCAGCATCCCATATGGTCCCCTGAGCACCGCCAGGGGTAGTTCCTGAGCGCAGAGCCAGGAGGAACCCCTATGCATTGCTGGATGTGACCCAGAAAGAAAAAAAAAAGAAAGCACATGCTTTCACCCCTGTACTCTTTCAACCCCAGCCGCCACCAAACTTTAAACAACTTGGCATGTGGAAAAAATGAAGGGGCTGGAGCTGGAAGGAACATCACTGTGCACTGCCAGGCTGCCCCCAGCAAAGGGTTAACACCAAATTATGAGGAAATGAGGGAAGACAAGAAGAAGGGAGGACAAGAAGAGCTAGTTTCTCAAGTGTCCCAAGAGACCTAGGGGCTGGGGAGATAAAAGGGCAGGGCACTTGCCTTGCATTCAGCCCTCCTGGGTTTGATTCCCAGAGCCCCATATGGTTTGCTGAGCTTGTCATAAGTGATCCCTGAATGCAGAGCCAGGAGTAAGTCCAGAGCACTCCGGATGTGGTTCAAAAACCAAAAAAAAAATAATAAAAAATACAAAGGGGAAAATAAAAGTTAATCAGGAGACTGGAGGTACCCAGAGTCTTGTTGGCTTTCCTTATTCCATAATGAGGGTTGTTTCTTTTTTTTTCTTTTTTTTTTTTTGAGGGGGCAGGATCACACCTGTTGATGCTCAGGGGTTACTCCTGACTCTGCACTTGGGAATTACTTCTGGGGGTCATATGGGATGCCGGGGATTGAACCCGGGTCAGTTACATGCAAGGCAAACAAATGCCCTACCAGCTGTGTTATCCTTCTGGCCTTGGGAGAGTGTCATTTCTATTTGGAATGTCTCAGAGCGGGTGGCTTTTTTCATTTTAGTGCCCATACCTGTAGCAGGCTGGGTCCAGCCGTGTCCACTAACGTATATCGATACCCAGAGGCAATAGCAGTCCCAATCTAAAACACAGAGACACTGAGCAGGAGCGATTGCTGAAAGGCCTGAGTGCTGCCTGGCATGTGGGAGGCCCGCATCTAACTAACCTCAGTACCACGTGGTACCATGAGCACCACCAAAGCAGCCCAGAGTAGCCAGGGAGCACTGCCAGGGTTCAAGAGCCATTATCTGAGCATCTCAGATGAACTGGAGGTAGAAACTCAGACAGACAGGACGTAGCAGGCCAAGGAAGCCCAAAGGAGGTTCCGGAGGAAGCGAGATGTTTCCAGGAAGCCCCAACCTCACCCCTACCCGCTTCTCTGCTGTACCCAGGCACCTGGCCAAGAGGTTCCAGGTGGGCTCCCCGGGATGCTGTATGATCTTCAAGGTGCCCAACGTGAGGAAGGAGGGTGAGTGAAACCTCGGGCTGTGCAGAGAGGGAAGGGTGGGGCTGGGGGTAGAGGCAGGGCTGGACTTCGTACCCTGGGTGGGATTCCAGGGAGAGAGATGCCATGAAGCTTTACTCTCCAGCCTGACTCTGGGGGTGGGCGGTGTCTTTTCATTGCACTCCCCCATCAGATGATTTGGCCCAGGAAGGCTTGGTCTAGCCTGGGCATCTGGAGTCTGGTGGGCAACCTTGCTCCCTCTCCATCCAGATGAAATTGAGCCTCCCCCAGTATTTGGGAAGAAAGACCTGGTGTGGGAAGAAGACCCTGAGCTCTATTCCAAATTCACAGAACGGAAGGTGAGGAGGCTGCCGCCAGCCAGGCGTCCCCAACTGCATCCCCATACCTCCATACACTCACAGACATTGAAAAGTTGTTGGGTTTTTTTTTTAATTGAATCACTGTGAGATACAGTTACAAAGCTTTCATGTTTGAGTTTCAGTCATACAAGGATCAAACACCCATCCCTCCACATTTTCCACCACCAATGTCCCCAGAATACACACACACACACACACACACACACACACACACACACACACACACACACATCCCAACCCTCCCCCTGCCTCTGTGGCAGACAGTTTCTCCCATACTCTCTACTTTGGGGCATTATGGCTTGCAATACAGATACTGAGAGGCTATCACGTTTGGTCCTTTATCTACTTTCAGCACAGATCTTCCCATCCCCAACGATCCCTCCAACCATCATTGACTTAATGATCCCTTCTCTATTCCAGTTGCCTTCTCCCCCAGATGTTTTGTTTTATTTTGGGAGGGCCACACCTGGCAGTGCTCAAGGCTTCTTCCTGGCTCTGTGCTCACTCTTTGGTGGGGCTGGGGAGGGGGGGAAACCACTTGGGGTGGCGGGGGACCAAACTCAGGTCAGCATCGTGCAAGGCAAGGGCCCGCCCACGGTGCCATCTCCCTGAACACCGCTGCACGGTGAAGTTCTCCTGCGCTTTTTCCTGGTGCCTGGGAAATGCACACTCCGGGGAGCTGAGCGACCCGTGAGCCCCGACGTCCTCCCTGGAGTGCGGCAGGGAGGCGTCCTGGAGCTCAGGGCTCGCGTATCCATCGGTCTGCGAGGACACGAGGGGCTCGGGGTCTCTCTCCGCCCCCATTCCCAGGAGGAGCTTCGTCTCAGCCACAGAAGGTACCTGGGGCAGCACCCCGAGGCCAAAGCGCTCATCTCCGACTTCCTGCTCTTCGTGCTGCTGCGCCAGCCGGACGACGTGATCACCTTCGCAGCCGAGCACTTCGGCTCAGACTAGCCATTCGAGCCGCTGACCCTATCCTTGGACCCTTTCCACCAGCGGCTCGCGTTCTGCAAGCTGGAGCCCAAACGGAAAGAAACCGAGCGCGGAGGCGCGGGTCGCGCGTGCGCACTGGCGGCGTGGGCGGGACCAGGCCGGGTATGGGCGGGGCCTGATGGGACGTGGGCGGGGCATGGGCGGGGCATGGGCGAGGCGTAGGCGAGGTCGGGGCTGCAGCTCGGACCCGTCAGAAGCCCCGCAGCTTTTTTTTTTTTAATTTTTTTTTTTTTGGTTTGTGGATTTTTTTTAAAGGGGAATAAACGGGCTCTCCCCGTCTCTCGGCTGTGGGAACCACAACTTTACCCCGCCCCGCCCACGTGTGGTGTCTTTGGTTAAAAGTAGGGACCGAGGGGACTGAGCGATCGTCCAGCAGCAGGGAAGGGCGCTTACCTTGCACCCTAGGCAGACCGGTCTTCGACATCCCAAATGGTTCCCCGAGCACCGCAAGGAATGATCTCTGAGCTCAGAGCCAGGAGTAACCTCTGAGCATAGCCGGGTGTGGCCCGTTCCTCCCCTCACCCCCACCCCCCCAAAAAAAAAGTAGGGACCAAGGGACTGGGGCGATAATGCTGAGGGTCAGGGAGCTTGCCTGCATGTCGCTGAACTGGATTTATGGTTTCCCAGCACCATCCCAGGGGACATCCCTGGTGCATTCCAAGGTTATCGCGGAGATTCAGGTGCCCTTGGTAGCTCTTGTTCTCTGGTCTTAGCCTGTTTCAAAGGGGACAGGGGCCTATTTTCCTCATCAAAACAACGGAGGGCTTGGAGCGATAGTGCTTGCTTTGTACATGGGAGACCAGTGTTCGATCCTGGGCACCCTTTATGGTCCCCTAAGCTCTGCCAGGAGTGATTCCTGAGTGCAGAGCTAGGAATAACCCCTGAGCATCACCACGTGTGGCTCTCCCTCCAACCCCCTCCCCCAAATTCCCCTCGATGTTCAGGAAGCACTCCTGGTTCACTATTCTGAGGGTGAGGGAGGGTGTCTCTCCTAATGGTGCTCAGGGAACCATGTAGAACCAGGGATAGAGCCTTTCCTTGCCAAGTACATGCTCTCGACCATTCCAGCCATCCCTCCTGCTTAATTTCAATCCCAGTAGTTCCAGTGGCTCCCTGTCACACAGCCCAGCTCAAGCCTGTAAATGAGCTCAGCAAACAGAGCTTCCTTCCATATACCAGGATTGTTCTTGGCATCCGAACAGAGGCAGTGACAAGGCAAAGTGACTGTTCCCGTAACCCTTCCAGGAAGGATGGGGAATGAGAACATAAATACATGAGTTCCGTCCATATAGAACACCTCAGAGGTTTCTTGAGGAAAGACGGTGATGCCAAACTGGGGAATGGGAGATGGAGAAAGAGACTCAGGTTGAAGGGATGAAGACAAAGATCCCCCAGTGGATGTCTCTGGGGTCTCAGGGACCCCAATAAGGAGACGTTGGATCTGAAAGAGAAAATGGGAAAGCCCTGGGTGGATGGGAGGAGGGGAGGCTGGTGTTGCCAAAGAAGGCTAGACCAGTCACGGGCCTCAGACCTCCGTTCGATGGAGAATTGAAACCCATCCATGGAGAACTGACTCAGCTTTCTGGCCCAGAACATTCCCAGGGAGCTCCTGGGATCCGAGAGCCCTTTCACCCACATTCAGTGGGGAGAATGGGCCGGAAGTCCTTCTTTGGCTTCTCTTGGCCCTTCTGTCTCTGTCTCTCTGTCTCTGTCTCTTTTTTAATTTTTCCAGTGAGGCCATGCCTAGTGGTGCTCAGGTCTTACTCTTGGCTCTGTGCTCAGGGTTCACTCCTGATGGGGCTCTCAGGGGACCATATGGGCAGCCGGGAATCAAACCCATGTCAGTAGCTTGCATGGCAAATACCCTACTCACTGTACTATCACTCCGATACCTTGTTGTTTTGTTTTGTTTTGTGGCATACTGGTCAGGCTTACTCTTGGCTTACTCTTGCCTCTGATCTCAGGGATCACTCCCAGTGGGTTCAGGGACCATATGTGGTGCCAGGGACCACACCTGGGTCAGCTGTGTGCAAGGCAATTTCCTTGCCCGCCCTCCTGTTGCTCCTGTCCAAAGGTCAGGGCTTTTGGAAGCATGAAGTACTGAGCCAGGGTTGAGAGTTCTATGGAGACCAAGAGGCCCACAGTTTGCAGGCACCAGCCGAGAAGGGAGGAGACTCCTGTCAGTCCCCACCTGCCCCACTCCTAGCATCCCCCTGCAATGCAGGATGTGAAATATCATGTGGTGTTAGAGTGTTTTTTTTCTGGGCTGGGGAATGGGGTGTTTTTTGGGGAGGGGGGGCCACACCTGGCTTTGGGGCTATTCCTGGGTCAGTGCTCATGAGTGGCCCCTGGTGGTGCGTGAGGGACCAATCACAGAGCCAGGGATGGAATCAGGGTTGGCTGCATGCAGAGTTCCAGATCTCCTGCATTATTTCTCTTGCCTCGGTGTTAGCGGGTTTGCTGCAACGCTGACCTGGTCCAGGGAGCCCAGGGCGTCAGAGGACAATGAATAGGAATAAAAAGAACAACGTTCTTGGCACAGCTCTTCCAAGTCCATGCACCCCTGGTGTGATGCCCACTGCACCACTAGCAGGTGGTAACATCCCCATCTGACAGACGAGGAAAAGGTTAAGGCCAAGGGCACACCGCCGGTTAGGGGCAGAACCCAGTTTGAACACAGTGTGTCTGGTTCCACAGCTATGTCTGAGTCTACCCTTCTAAACCGATCAAGTTCACAGACAGCAAAGAAGCCCCTTTCTGCTTTGGGTACACCCAGAAAAAAAAATGATAATACCCTAGGCGAATGCAGATGGTCCCACCAATTATACGTCATTTGGTAACACTTGTCGGGTCCCTGAATCGGCCTTCTTTTTTTTTTTTTTTCTTTTTGGGTCACACCCGGCGATGCTCGAGGATTACTCCTGGCTCTGCACTCAGGAATTACTCCTGGCGGTGCTTGGGGGACCATATGGCATGCCGGGGATCGAACCTGGGTCGGCCACATGCAAGGCAAACACCCTCACCACTGTGCTATCGCTCTAGCCCCGAATCTGCGTTCTTGATAAGCCCCATCCTGCCTGACTTGTGGCTTCTGCCCCTGTTTAGATCACATACTCCGCTGTCCTCTTCTCTGCAGTCCTCCCATGATCTAGTGTGGAGCTTCACCACCCACCCGAGTGCTGCAGGCAGCCTGAGAATGGGACCCTGCACATCACTGTGTGTAGTTGGTTAAAGCATGGTTTCCCAAACAGCACCACAGCATGACTCAGGGGGAGCGCCCTCAAAATAAAAAAATGAAAAGAGACTAGAGAGATCCGGTGGTCCAATCGCTCACTTTCCTCCCTTCGTAACATGTTACAAAACTCTAATCTGGTGCAGGATTTTAAAGAGGACCAGATTTCCCTCCCCCCACCCCATGGTAAACTATAAAAATTTGCCCTTTTTGGAGGCTGAAGAGATGGGACAGTGGGTAGGGCATTTATCTTGCTGACAGCCACAACCACGCTGAGACCACTCTCCACACGCATGAAGGTACCGGCAGAGGAACACAGGCATGCGGGTCCTGGGGCTGAGATCTCCAAGGCTACTCGGATCGGGGTTGAGCATCCTCCACCCAGATTCTCCGTCTTCCAGTAGGCAGGGGTCACACCCACCAACTGCCCCTCTTCCCCCCACCCGGCGCTGTGTAATCCCATCAATGGCCAAGACCCAGAGACTATAAAACCCAGCTGCGCAAAATCTTAATACCTCATTCTTACTTTGGACAACCTGGCAGGCTACCGAATGTAACCTGCCCACACGGCAGAGACTGGCAAACTCCTCGTGGCATACCCAATATGCCAAATACCAGTAACAATGATGGGCCTCATTCTCCTAACCCTGAAAGAGCCTTGAATATAGGACTTTTTAAAACCTCAGAGCTAGGGCGAAGGAGATGTTACTGGTGCCTGCTCGAGGCAATCGACAAACAATAGGATGATCGTGATCGTGATCAACCCGGGTTTGATCCCTGGCACCATACACGGTCCCCTGAGCCCTGCCAGAAGGGATTCCTGAGCTCAGAGCCAGGAGTAAACCCTGGGCATTGCCAGGCATGGCCCCAAACCCAACCAATCAAACAAAAAAAGGCAAAAACATTTGCCCTTTTAAACATACTGAACTGAACAATTCAATGGCATTAAGTGCATTCACATTGTGGGTCAATCAACGCACCCATTTGTCTCCATAACCTTTTGCCCCACAGACAAAGATTGCAGCATTAAACTCTGTTCCCTGTGCTGAAGGCCTGGTCGCAGGCGATTCTCATCCCACACCCCTTTTATGAAGGGCTGCCTGGAGCGGGGTTCCTACAATAGTTGTCCTTTAAGGTCTGACTATTTCACTTTTTTCAGATTCGCCTCTATTCTAACTTGGGTGAGAAGTTCATGAGCCAAAGAAATAGCACGGGACTATTGCATTTGCCTTGCATGTGACCAGCCCTCAATCAATCCCCCATACCCCATATGGTCCCTTGAGCCCCACCAGGACTCCTCCCTGAGCAAAAGCCAAGAGTAAGCCTTGAGCAGCACTGGGTGCGACTCCAAATCACACAAACAAAATCCAGGGCCAAAGTGACATTACAGCGGGCAGCATGCTTGACTTGCACACAGCTGACCAGGGTTTGATCCTCAGCATCCCACATGATCCCCCAAGCCTACCAGGAGTGATCCCTGAGCACAGAGCTAAGAGTCAGCTATGAGCACTGCTGTGTGTGGCCCCCAAACAGACCAACAAAAACCAGGTTCACAAAAACAAAAAGAACTTTATTCTAGCTTGCCACAAAAAGTAAGGGGGAGGGGCAGTTAGGATGGAGGACTACTATGACAATGATAAAGTAAGTAAAAGTAAAGGCCCTCCCGTTGATCATCGATTTGCTCGAGCGGGCCCAGTAACGTCTCCATTGGAGACTTTGTTGTTACTGTGTTTGGCATATCGAATACGTCACAGGGAGCTTGCCAGGCTCTGAC